TGTAATCATGCTTATTTTAATATGGCTACTATGATTTTTGAATCATAATTAGCATAATTAGCATAGTATAAAATAGTATAAAATAAAATACCTTATTGGTATTACATGTAAATGTAAATTTAAATGCATTTAAAAATTTGTTACGTGTAAAACAATCAAAAACTAATTTTTAGTCGGCTCTCTTACAGAAAAAAAGTTTATCAGTTAAAATAAAAATAAAAGTAAGTATTTGACTATTAAAAATTAATTTGTATTTATATGATAAGGTTTACTATCCTTAAAAATTATATATTTTTTTATACCTATACTCGTATTAAAGAATATGTATAGATTTTCAATTAAGTCTATTAAGACTATGGAGAAAATTGACCCCATTCTCTTCGTGTCCAATAAGAAGATGAGATTTTACTTTTTTCCACGAGTAGTATTTATTATTACTATGGCAATTATACGATGGTTCATTGTATTCTTTAAAATTAGTTGATAAATTGAAAGAAAGTTAGGTTAGAACCATCTGACAGTTATCAGTTTTTTTTAATATACGAATTTAAGGCGAATGTAATGATCTTTAAAATTGAGGGAAAGTGAGGTTAGAACCGTCTTACAGATGTCAGATTTAAGGTAGTATCCAACTTTCTCAATCTTTGAAAAATATAACTTTATTAAAGATTATATCTAGGCATATCAGACCCTTAATGAAGCTATCACTCTCTAATAGCCTTAACATAAATATATCGACATAAAAATTTAACGCATGCATCAATTAAATTGCCATTGAAAAGTTGAACGTTGCAAATTCACCCCCGTAAAAGCGCGTGTTGCACTCTCTCCCCATGCACATATCCCATGGTTCTGGGACAATGGAGAGTGTGCATGAATCCATGCCATAATGAGATTCAGTAGCCGATAACCCAACAGGAACCAATCACTATCGACTACGATGCTCTTTTGTTCGCGCCGGCTTTTATTCAACCGGGGGTGGATGGTTTACCATCGATATTGTGCAAGGGTCAGTTTTTTTTTCTGAAGAGAGCAGAAAATTGAAAATATGTATGGATTTCATGCACCATTCGGGTGCAAATGTAAAAAAACAGATTGTATGTAAGTACACAACTAAAATTATTATTCACAAGGGTTCACATTAAGACTAACATTAAATTAGCATTCTTAAAGGCCGGTTTATCACACTTTGGTTAAGTTCCAATTAGTCTATTTGACAGTTAAATTCTATACCGATCGTTTTAAGAACAATGGTATCCATGGAAATTACCTGCCATTAACTGCAACTTTAACTGGACATTGATAAACCGGCCCTAAGACAGTTATACAGTAAATTTATCTGGCATAAGTGGATATTTTTAAGTTTTTAGCTTAAGTTTACATTCTTAAGACTGTCATATATAGCTTATGTTGAAAATGTGGACATACTTGTGAAGCTGTAAAAAGTTATAGGTATCTGGGACATTTTTAAGAACTGATTTTAACATTTAAAAAATTCTATCAAAATTTTCGTAAGACAGTTATATTTAGCTTATTGTCATATGTAACGCGCTCCGAGAAAAAGGGATCTTAACCAGCACTTATTTTAGAGGAGAAAGGAAAGAACAGGCGACCGCGCAAGACTGCAGCACAACCAGAAAATGTTTAGCGCGTTGGTACATACAAAATATGCAAGAAAAAGAAATCAAAAATCAAAATGGTCATAATTTTTGAATTAGAGCTAAATTTTTAAAATAAATTGGGAGTTTTGGTCTCCAGTACTATAGTAGCAGACCTCAAAAAGAAATGTTTCTATAATTTTGCATTTATTGAATGTAATTGTCATAAACAGTTTCAGTATTCCCCTACTAACGCAACGTTCATTCAAATTAATAAATGGACCTTAATTTGCATGTATTAATATAGACAGGCCTCCCCTAAAATACCACATATAATAATTGCAACTATTATAAGTAATACGATACCTACCCACCTATAAGCTAATGGTGCACTTGTACACTACACTTACAATATATTAAAATTATTGTGAAGATTCCCTTTTATACAAAAGGTTTTATGATGCTGATAAATGGCCCGTAATAGGAATATTACATTAGATTTAATCTGCTTATGCCTTCTATCAATGTAAGAGGAATAGACATGAAAACTGAGCATACGTTTAATAGTCTATTAGTTAAAACTATAGAAACCTAACCTAAAAATGGAGGATACTGCTTTTTTAAGGATTTCGTCACGAATTGTTACATTTATATTTTAAAAGGATTGTAATTTAAACGGTTTAATTTCAGAATCATGTCACAAAAAAAAAATATTTTTGCATATGACCATATATGGTCATATGCAAAAATATTTTTTTTTATTTGTGACATGTATAGACATCTATAGATACAAGCAACATTTTATAAAGTTATACTAATTAATCATTTAATCATTAACGAACATTTCTTTTTGACTCCATTTCTGCACCAAAGTCGTCTCGATGAAAAGAATAATCCATACCATCGCACACTATTAATGGTCTTTTCATGGTGTTTCCTATTCAAGTTCGATGTTCTTTTTTTAAGACACGAACGGCGACCTTAATACAGTAAGCAGGTAATAAATTTTTGTGAGCAGCAACAGAAAAAAATATATAGGCCACAGTTTAACCTTCCAGGAATATTGGACAATTCGTTATACAGTTTAAAGTGGAAAAAGGAAATTGTAAACAAGTCGTAAAGTTTATTGCTTTGTATGCAATAGTTCTGAACGATTTATAGACGAGGGACATTGTTTGACAATGAACTTCTTAATTATTATATTTTATGCTGGATTGGATTATAGATATTGTTTGAAAGCAAAAGTTTAAAGTAGGTCATAAAATAATGAAATATTGACATATTTTACAATTGTTTTAAACAAAACTATATGTAATTAATATTAACCGAGAAGTTATGGGTACTGGCCTTTACAATAAGGAAGATACAAACAAATAAATAGTATATTTTTCAACGTTGAGGAAACTGGCCATTTCAAGAGTTGAATATATACTTATACTTTTTCTAATTTTATTAAAAAATTTAGGACAACTTTGTGTAATTACCATAATCACAGATTCGGTAACAAATGTCAGTGTTAATTAATTTTTAAGAAAATAATGGACCGTCATAGTCATTATAGTAATGATAAATACTACCTTAGAGAAAATTAATATCTCGGCGTCCCATTGGACAGTATTCGTGAAGAAATAGATCAATTTTCTCCACAGTTTAAGATTAAGCCACTTTCTTATTAAATAAAATTAAATTTTTAAATCTTATAGGTAATGTAAGTTCTTTAATATGATTAAAATTACATTTTTCCATATTAGGCAATGAAAAACACCATTCAATTATTTATTTTGGAAATTATGTTTTTGACAACAAAAAAATAGGCATTATCCTAAATTTGTCAATTTAAAAAACTACCAATTTTGACAAGCGCGGTGTAATTTAGTGACATTTTGATAATTTTTATTTGATGGCATTTAAATTTTAACGCAAGGCTCCAAATTCATTGAAATCAAACAATAATTGTTTTTAAATTTTAAAAACTACCGATTTTTGACTAGAAAACATTTTTTAAAGTTAATAATCTTGTTTAGTCTAATTAGGACTCACAATAATAAATTAATTAAGTAGGTATTTGATTTAATATATATATATATATATATACATATATATATAAATATATATATATATATGTATACAGGTTGTTATGGAAAACACGATGGCAATCTCTAGGACATTAAACAGAAGTTATTTTGAACAACTACCTAATAATTAATAAAAAGAACGCATCATGACGTCATGATGATCAGGCATGATATAAATAAGGTGCTTACGTTCAAAACCGTCTATATCCATTTTGATAAATGTTGGAAAAATAGCAAAAACATTCAGTTTCAAGGCCGTCAGAGTTAAAAAAACTAAAAGATTGATCTAGTAGTCTTCATGTACTTATTTTTTTTTAATTTAATATCAAGGCTAATATTTAAAAAAATCATTTGGTTGGGTTTGCTCCTAACCCAAAAATAAATATACAAAGAAACCTTTTATTTTAAAAAGCAAGTACAGGTGACAGGTGCCTAACTTCAATTCTACGATTTTTTGGTATTCATGCCAGCGAATAGACTAGAGCTCGATGCAATTACATTTTATTTTAATATCAGTAATATTAAATGTTACTAATCAAATATTGATTAAATGAAAAATCCTGAATTGATCAAAATGTATATAACATATTAACAAATTTTGTTCGAATATCCTAGAATTACCATAGTGTTTAATAACACCCTGTATAGGTACGAATATGAATATTTGCAATAGTTTCTTGGGGCCAAAATAAGTAATATTAAACATTTGGTCGCGTTACTGAAGTACCTACCAATTGATATACTAAATATAATAAAAATTACCCATTTTGCATGATTTGTTTTTCATATGTAAAAAATGCTCTAGGACATCTCTGATTTGTGTTATGAAATAGTCTACACTAGTAAATCCGATTTAAAAATTATTAAATTTAAATATTAGTTCACAATGCACTTTAAAAAATAAAGTATATGATGGGTCGCACTGACCATTGCGAATCTTTAATAGGGTAGGTATGAAAGTGATACTTTTTTATGAGATGAAAGTTTTGCGATTGGAAGTATCATAAATATTAAATAACTTAATCAAATCGATAATGACATGATCCGGTGGACTTACAACGGGATTATAAGATCGGGCATACGGCCGTAGAGCGTGCTTTTCCGAATCGAGCAATAAAACCTTTACCCCAATAAATAAGATGAAAAAGCGTCAATGGCACACGGGGGTGGGTAAATTTCACAGGGCAGCTGGCAGAATAAAAGAACTGTGCGACCAACCTCGGGGGGTCGCTACACCCCTCCCGTCACGTTTTCGGGACATTGTCGCAAACGTTTAGTCCAGGCGAAAATTTAGTCTATGCCCGGACAGTTTGGTGAAATCAGTGCAATGAGTGCTTCGATGTACAACTACTGGAACAATCCGTCTTATCAGTTTTACAACGATTATATTAACAGTGAAAATAAAAACAATGTTTACCAAGGACAGTATCCTCCATACAGTGTTAAAGAAGAACCTACTTACAACAACTGCAGGTATAATCAACCGTATTCGCCACATATGGATAATTCCTTAACGCCGCCACCTGCTTACAATTATAATAATTATTATCAAGAACAAGTTGCTTCACCTACATCCACCACATCCACCCCAACACCCCAACCTCAACCTTCTCCAAAGGATGATTCTCCAGCTTTAAGAGCTCTATTAACAAAACCAGAAGGAAAAAAAGTAGCCTACGACTATTTTAACCCCTATCAAAAACCACCTTTCGAAGATCACCACTTTAAACCTGCCCAGGTTAATCAGGATGAAGAAAGACAGAATACGTCCCCGGTTAAGGAGCAACACGATGAACTACAGCAACAAAGTGCGGCTGATAACTTTGCGGACGCCCAAAACAATTATTATCCATGGATGAAAAGTAATGGTGAGTAAGGTTTTTAAAATTTAAAACGACGTTATTAAGTAAATTGGTCGATAATAACTTTATACACAAGACAAAGAAGGTATATAATTGCTGGTTATGTGGCTACCAATTAGTTTAAATTAAAGGCACTTAAAATTTTAATAAATTAAATTATATAGGCATCTGATAAGATAACCTTTTAATATAATATAAGTGTATTTTTCTGTTTTTGTTTTAAAAATATATATCGTGGATATCTGATAGCTACCGGACTGCATTTCTTTTAGACTTAATATTTTTATTTTGCAGGTGATAAATCGGGCCAAGGAAGCAAAAGAACCCGCCAAACGTACACGAGATACCAAACGCTGGAACTCGAGAAGGAATTCCATTCGAACAAATACCTTACAAGACGACGAAGGGTGGAAATATCGCAGACCCTGTGCCTCACAGAACGTCAAATTAAAATATGGTTCCAAAACAGGCGAATGAAGGCGAAGAAGGACACAAAATTCATGATGCCGCCGGAGTTTTCCATGTCGGAGGATGTTAATCAAAATTGCGGATTTACCGGTCAAATGTACCAAAAGTCCTTTTACGAGGATGCAGGAGAAGGACAAAGCGAAGAGACTTCAACGGTAACCGCCCCGACAAACCTTTACATTAAAAACGAAATCGCGATGCCTATGACGCAAATTAACAGTATTCCAGGGCCGCCTTTATCATCACATGGGCTCATAAATTAATCTAGGAATTAACCTAATACATAGTTAAGAGCAAGTATCAAAAATGTACATAGAAAGAGAATTTATTTATTTAGGTAGATGGATATTTAACTTTACATAAATGATTAGTTCCTATATTTGCTTATTCAAAGATTTATTTATTATATAAATCATAATTTTAATATACTACAGTCAAGTCACTAGATTTAAGAATTTAATTTTAATATTTGTACCTATTTGTAAATTATATTAAACCTTTTCAAAAAGTTTGCATATCCTTTAATCCTTTTAAAGTAAATTTACAAAGAATCAATTTGTTTCAATATTTAGACAGTTTACATCCAGTAAATAAAAGATTATGATAGATTATGCTGACTTAGCATATTTTACAATACGCCCATTTTGTTAAAGTTTTAACTTTTTATGTTTAACCGCACATATATTATTGTTTCTATAAACAATATACCCACAAAAATATTGTATTACAAAAACCATACAATGCCAAAAAATAAATTTATTAGATAAACATTCACGCACCCATTTTTATTTTCTTTTCTTAGAAATAATTCTGATGTTATTTTAGTAAAACAGTTTTGCACAAACCTACCTACCCCCAAAGAGAAAGTCGGCTTGGGTTAGAAAACTAAACAATGCCGCTCCAGCTGCATCCTGATATTTCGGGCATGCGTGTTTTCAAGCGGCAACATGGCCGATACAACACGATGGCTGTGTGGTTTCTGGTGGTGTTTGTTAAAAGAATTTGAGGTGAACTATTTCGATTTAAATATTTAATTGTGTATGTTCTAATTATTGGTAAGTTATACATTTTTATTCCTTGTTTAATTAATGTTAAATTTCCTAGTTAATTAGATTTTTGATAATAGAATATATAGCAAACCAATCTATTTATATATTTTTTAAAACATGCCTACTTTTTCCAAAATATGCTAAAATGCTGTATTTTCGTTGAAAAAGGTTTTATCCACGGCATTTTAAAGACAATACAGAGCATTTGTTTAGATTTTGTATAATTTATTTAAAAAAATTTTGGATCCATTGTATGCTGAACCAAGGTTGTACCTGCTATGGCTAAATACCTATGTCAAAATGTTGTCTACTATTTTTTGATGAAATCTGCCATTAATAAATAAACAAATAGACTTCGAAATATGTATTACATTTTATACATATTGTATTATAATACGCGAATACGCGAAATTGCAAAGAAAAAACAAACTAGTGGTATTATATACGATAATTATCGTATATAATACCACTAGTTTGTTTTTTTCTTTGCAATTTCGCGTGGCATTAATTAAAGACCACGAGCCGCCAGGCGAGTGGTTTTAAATTAATGCCACGAGCAAAATTTCCAAGGAAAAATATAGTAAATAAAAAATCAAAAAAATTTTCGAGTGGTATTCGGCAAGACTATTTGACGAATATTTTGTTTAAATAAGAATAAACTGCCGATTCAATTTTTGTACAATTTTGTTGACCAAAATATTTTTTGACATTTTTATTTTAAAATTAGAAACGTCAACATTGACAATTATTTTTCGCATTGCAACCAATTGGTTGCTATGCAACTTGTATAAACGAGTGTTTTTTTCTCCTAAATAGTAGTTTTATGGCTGCAAAACTGAAAAACCCAGTCGTTTTCTGAAAATCTAATTGGTCCATAAAGTAATAAGTGGAATAGTCAATGTTATAAGGTAGTATCCATCACTTATTAATGTTTCATAAAATTTTGCAGTAAGGTAAATATTTTAATAATTTTTATGTCGTTAATTAATTATCTATTCCTATTTTATTAAAAAATATATTTTGCCAAGGGATGTAACCCCTTAATCATCAATTAAGTAGGTTGTATAATGTACAATAGAGTGGGTCGAATATCCGCCTTTTTAAATTAATTTTGTAATGAGAAAAATTATATGTTCATATTTAATTAAACCATATTTTTTTGCCAAGGGCATTTTTCATCAATTAAGTAGGTTGTACAATGTACAATAGAGTGAGTCGAATATCCGCTTTTTGAAATTAATTTTGAAATAGCAAAAATATTATTCTTTAAGCTGAAAAAGAATTATATACAAAAAGAAAAAAAATTCGGTCAACATCTTAGGCTCGCCAAATGCACTTAAACTGAAAAAAAAAATATTTTTAGAAATACATTTTTTATATACATTTTAAGGTCTTTATTAATTACCGCATAAATATTGTGGTTTCAGAGATAATTGCAATTTCATCTTAAAATTTCCATTCCATTTCCAACTGAAATCGCAATTATCTTTGAAACTATAGTACTATTTATGCGATAATTGAAAAAAATGTTGGTAGTGCACAATTAAATGTACATACAAACTTAATTAAAAAAAGTGACAAAGAAGGGTCTAATTTAATAAGTTTTATCTACGCCAGTGAGATAAGAACTTCTTATCCCACTCATTTTGAGTGAGATAAGAAGTTCATTAACGCACGCGTTTTTCTCTGCTTTTAACCAATCAAATAAAAAAGTCAAAATGTCAAAATGTCAAAATAACCCTAAATTAAGTCTTAGACAAAAATAATTACCGTTTATTTTTTCATTTAGAGGCGTAGATAAAAATTTGTACAATATACGTGTGATAACGCTTTATTAACGTACGTTTGCGATTGCCCAACTCGTGCTACGCACTCGTTGGGCAAATTTCGCATGCGTACGTTAATAAAGCTCTTATCCCACTTATATCGTAAATAACTATTAAAAGATCCAAATAATAGCATGTCATATTTTGATCCACAAACTTAATAAAATACAAATTTCAAATTTCCGGTAAGCTTCTTTTTTTTCAGCCGAATATACTTTCTGGGTCCAATAAACATATATGTTATAAAATGTGTAGGGTTGAATGCCAAAAAAAGTAAGCTTTGTTCACTTACAATTTAAAAATACAATATCATTCCTAATCGCCAATATGTGAAAACTTTAATTTGGCGCTTGTATTTTATTGGATAAGCATATTAGCATTTGGTTTTTGGGAGGGGGTAATAATGCGACAAGCTAACGACCTTGTTTTTGAAGGTTTCAGTCGCCCACTCACTGGCGCTGGGTGTTTTAAAACGTATCGCGTTCTTATTAAAATAATTTACCTTTAAAAATGATTCGGCAGCTTGTACAAAAATTTATTGTAGGGAGTATAAAAATTTAATATACAAAATAATTATAAAGACTATTTTTTAAATAGTGAGGGACGCCTAGCATTTTTTTAATCGAGCTGATTGTTGGGGAGAGTTCCTAAAACATGATTAACTAGCATATTTTCATAGGAGACTCGGTTTTTTGTGCCACCCCGCTATACATAAATAAGATTATTGTTATTATTACTATTAAAAGAAAACAAGAAAATACTAGGGGTGTGCTAATAGTGTTAAAATCAATTCGAATCGAATAAGAGATATCCGATTTATATTTTGAATCAAATATTCGAAATATTTCGAATGGTTAAATAAATTAAATTATTCCAATAGTTTCAATAGTTTAATTTATTTAAATAGTTAGAATATTAAATACTAATCAAACCAATTAAACTTTTGTCATGCTCATGGTAGTTTAAAAAAAATTGTTTCTTTATGTACTTAACAATAATAATACTTATTGTAAAATTTTAATTGTTTAATTATAATTAAAACATTTTGAATGGTTAGAATATTTAACTCAAATTTTGAATCGAATTGATTCCTGGGATAATTTCAATAATTTTTAGTACATAATTATTAAACGCTTGAATAAAAGTATATACAACACGGCGAAGAAAGCATATTAACCGCCTCCTCAGCTTCTTATCGAGTTTGCGACATTTTGTCAGGTTTGACGTTTAACATATGTTATATTATAGGTTATGTACATAAATTTATTTCACAGTGACCTGTAATTTTACATTTTCTTTGCTGATAGATGGAACCACTCTTCCTATGTATTTTCATTATTATATGGCTGTGTATAACAATTAGACTTTTGAACTGTGTACAAAAATTAAGTATTTTTATATATATAGCCTATAGGCTTATGAGTGTTATAATTGAAAAAATATATTTTGCATAGGCCAAATTATGAAAAGTATCCCCCTTATTTTTATTATTTTTATAGTGGATTTTTAGGTACCTACATCTTCTTTTCGTTATGCTAGCATACTTGTATATCGTTTAATTTTCGTAATCTGCAAAGTTTTTGCTTAATATCTCTAAAAGAATAACAGTTTTATCATTAAAAAACAATATTATTAATATTTTATTTAAATATAGCGACCCACGGTTACAACGACCGTATTTCTCCGGCATCTTTGACGTAGTCAACATTAAACTAAAATTAAAGTTAAAAAGATATTGACAACTAAAGTATTGAACCTTAAAAATATAAGTACCCAATGAAAGCAAAATAAAAATTAAATTTAAAAAATTAAATAAAAATAACTCGTCCGCAAAATCCTTTAACACTTGGCAACATCTAACGGAGGTCGCGAATGTTCACCTCTGCGAAAAGAAAAGGTCCAGTTCCCATTGCAACAACCCCCCTCCCCCATTCGCTGTTCAACTGTCATTCGTTATTAATGGTGTTCGTCAAAAGAGACGATTAAATATCGGGATAGACGTGGTTACTCATGTGCTGATATCTCTCCCAGATCATTTCGGTATTATGCCATTGTGAGATGTTTTTTTTTCTGGTTTGGTTTAGGTTTTACGCGGTAGTGGAACATTTTTGTCGGGGTGTTTTTAGATAACGGCATCGTTAAAAAAATGTAGCCATATAATGATTTGTTATTTCACATACACATCCTATTTTGATTATTATTAATTTTGGTTTGAAATATACTGAAATTAAATTGTTTTTAATATAAATTTTTCCTTCTAAATAAAAAAACACATATATAATATAAATTAAATACAATTATTTTTGTAAATTACAGATTCTAGTCAAAGATAACATGTTTTAACCTTTCGGCAGTCGCGCTTAAATTTAACATGTACAGTTTTTAATG